GACAATAATTCTACAGGTTACTAAGGAATCCAAGACCACCACAAGGCACTGCCAGCGACCTGTCTAAGAAGAGCTTGGCGATCGTGCCGGCACCAGCACCATCAACCTGGGCCATCCAGAAAAGTCGAAAGCAAGAACCAAGGGCGCGTCCAGAAATATTTTTGATTTTTGATGGGGCAGTGAAAGGGCGTCCAAAAATAGGTGTTTTGTGTTTTTTCTTTTTCGCTTTCTGTTTTGATGGGGCAGTGAAAGGGAGACCAAATGGAAACCAAACATTGTTGGGCGTCCCAGATTGATGGAAATCCCGACATCCTCACAGCAGCTTTTGAATTATACCAGTGACAGGATATCTCAGGCCGGCGCTTGCAAGCTATGCATCACCTTGCAGTTGCAGCTACGCAGTGATACAGTTTGTCCCCTACATTTTGCAAGCGGGGGAACAAGGAATACGCCGTCAGACCAGCTGTGACTCCTTTGCTTCTGATTTGTAGAGAATCAACGGTACTTGGGTACATGTTAAAACACAGGCTCTTTAAGATTGTGTTTTACCTCAAACGGGTAACCTCGTTAAAAAAAAGAAAAGAACAAACAAAAAAAAACACATCAGTCGCAATCAGAGCTTGGTATTCAAGCGGTTTGCCCCCAAGCCATGAACTGTAAAGAATCAGCGCGGCCGAACCTCTTTATAGCCGTGGATTGTCCCTGTGTAATCATCATGTACGTGTTTTGATTGTGACTCAATGCCAACAGCAAGTGCTGTGCACTTTGTCTCAACTGCTTGGCAGATTCGTGCCGATTCGCCTGCAGTACATCTGATGCTGCTCGAGCCAGTCTGACTGGTTGCGAGGATGTGTTCCAGCCAGGCGGCCTGCGGCACAGCAAGAAAGACTTGGACCCCCGGCAAAGGGGTAACATAGTGCTGGGTAGAACGAACATGCAGGAAACCCGAAGGGCGCAAAGGGAAACCTGCTGGTAAAGCCTGGCATAGTGTGGCAATGCCTTTAACAGGCACCATGACCAATACACCAAAAGAGCAACCAACAACAGAAACCGAGTAGGATGCAAGCTTGGGCTTGAATAGGAAAGCCAGGGAAGACACAAACAATCACAACCGCCGAAAGGAGCTCGAGGACAATTGAACGACGGCGAATGCAAAGTCAACAAGGACGCTGAGACGACTGAACAAACATTCAATCGAAGCAAAACCACAGGGCAGGCAAACCAACAAGGTCAAGCAGAAAAAGGAAGAGCAAACAACTCAAACAGGACAGTTAACCAACACATACAGGACGCGTAAGAACACGAAAAGCACCCGACGAAAAACAAGTTGTTGGGGCCATTCTGCGCTTGCTTCCCTTGATCGCCCTTCAACTGTATTTTGGGGATTGGATTGGTTGGAAGTTAGGGGAGTTCGACTGTTTCAAGCAAAACTAAGCGTTCAACTTCCAAACCACCAGTCCACACCACCAAGTAAGGCTTACCTGGCCATCAGTGGATTCCCATCGAAAAACAGGACTTGCCCGGCTTGCCCCCTTGATAGACAGAGTAGAAAGCTAATTTTCCTCTACTTTGTGCTTTGGATTGGTGGCTTGCAGGTTTGGTGTGGTTTCCCATTTACCCCCTAGAACCATGGCTTCAAACCCCCAAACCAGTACAAGCCACCAACTAAGGGTGGCATGAAGAGGGGGCAACCTCAAAACCGTGGCTTAGCACACGCTGAGGCGAAGACGAGGCACCAGCATCCCAGCCCAAGCCTGTCCAGCACTCTTGGATGGTTGCTTGGTTGGTTGCTTGTGCTTGCTTGCTTGATGGTTCTTTGTTTGTTGGCTTGCTGGATTGTTTGCCAGTCTCGCGTTGCTGTGTCGCTCTTCCTTCGGACACCTCACAGGAGCTGAACGGAAGGCCTTTTTCGGTTTTTCTGGCTTGCACCTTTCTCCTGGAGACTTGGAGCTGAGGTGCTGAGCAAAGACTCGACATGGAGCTAGTGCCCTTTTCTTTAGTTTCAACCGTTGCCTGGAAAGGTGCAAATCCGCCGACCCCCCTGCCTGCAAGGGGAAGGCGCTGGGGGAGTGTTCGTTTAGCGTTGGAGCGTGACTGTGGCAGCCTTCTCCCTTCCCTTTCGCCCTCGCCCGTTCAGCCCTGTACCTTACCAGCCTTCTTTCTTTCCCTTTTTTATTGTTCTTCTTCGTTTCTTTTCTTTCCTTTTCCTTTCTGCCGCCGGCGCACTCCTTTGGTTGGTGCTCGCTGTGGACAAACGAGTGCGGCCTGGAAGAGCGCGGGAAGCGAAGCTTTTGTGGCTGGCCGCTCCCTCTGGACCGATAGCCTTACTGCATATTGGACTCAAACGCGATGTTAGGCACCGCGGCGGAGCAGGCTGCCGGCGCACTCCTTTGGTTCGTGCTCGCTGCGGCGAAGCGAGTGCGGCCTCCAAGCGCGCTGGACGCGAAGCTGTTCTTGCTGGTTGCGCCGTGGGGACCGATAGCTTTCTATTTTCTATATAGGATTCAAAAGTGACGTTTGGCACCCGGCCACTGCGGGGCAGCCGCCCTTGGCAAGACGCACAGCAAACCCAAAACAAGAAAGACCAGGGATAGGCAAACTGTGACAGACGCAGGCGCACATGGGCATGGACAGGCCGGGGATTGAACCTGGCCCCTCTCGCATGCTGAGCGGGTGTGATGCCACTACACCAACTGCCCCTGAGCTGAGGAGGCCGAGAGTGCTCAAGCACCTGCTGGGCACAGCTTTCAGCGCTGAAGCTCTGTCACGGCCAGCCCGTTCGGCCTGTTTGTCCACAGCGAGCACCAACCAAAGGAGCGCGCCGGCAGCAGAAAGGAAAAGGAAAGAAACCAAAGGAGTGCGCCGGCAGCAGAAAGGAAGAGAACGGGCGGGCCCGCACTCGTTTGCCCACAGCGAGCACCAACCAAAGGAGTGCGCCGGCAGCAGAAAGGAAGAAAAAAGGCCGGACGGGCGGGCCGTGACAGAGCTTCAGCGCTGAAAACTGTGCCCTGCAGGTGCTTGAGCGCTTTTCCAGTGCGCCGGCAGCAGATAGGAAGAAAACGAGTGCGGCCTGGAAAAGCGCGGGAAGCGAAGCTTTTGTGGCTGGCCGCTCCCTCTGGACCGATAGCCTTACTGCATATTGGTCTCAAACGCGACGTTAGGCACCGCGGCGGAGCAGGCTGCCGGCGCACTCCTTTGGTTCGTGCTCGCTGCGGCGAAGCGAGTGCGGCTTCCAAGCGAGCTGGACGCGAAGCTGTTCTTGCTGGTTGCGCCGTGGGGACCGATAGCTTTCTATTTTCTATATAGGATTCAAAAGTGACGTTCGGCACCCCGGCCGCGCCGGAGCACCCTTGGCAAGACGCACAGCAAACCCAAAGGGAGAAAGACCAGGGATAGGCAAACTGTGACAGACGCAGGCGCACATGGGCATGGACAGGCCGGGGATTGAACCTGGCCCCTCTCGCATGCTGAGCGGGTGTGATGCCACTACACCAACTGCTCCTGAGCTGAGGAGGCCGAGAGTGCTCAAGTACCTGCTGGGCACAGCTTTCAGCGCTGAAGCTCTGTCACGGCCAGCCCGTTCGGCCTGTTTTCTTCCTATCTGCTGCCGGCGCACTCCTTTGGTTGGTGCTCGCTGTGGGCAAACGAGTGCGGCCTGGAAAAGCGCTCAAGCACCTGCAGGGCACAGTTGTCAGCGCTGAAGCTCTGTCACGGCCCGCCCGTCCGGCCTTTTTTCTTCGGCGCACTCCTTTGGTTGGTGCTCGCTGTGGGCAAGCGAGTGCGGGCCCGCCCGGTCGGCCTCTTTTCTTCCTTTCTGCTGCCGGCGCACTCCTTTGGTTTCTTTCCTTTCCCTTTCTGCTGCCGGCGCACTCCTTTGGTTGGTGGTCGCTTTGGACAAACGAGTGCGGCCTGGAAAAGCGCGGGAAGCGAAGCTTTTGTGGCTGGCCGCTCCCTCTGGACCGATAGCCTTACTGCATATTGGACTCAAACGCGACGTTAGGCACACGGCCGCGGCGGAGCAGGTTGCCGGCGCACTCCTTTGGTTCGTGCTCGCTGCGGCGAAGCGAGTGCGGCCTCCAAGCGCGCTGGACGCGAAGCTGTTCTTGCTGGTTGCGCCCTGGGACCGATAGCTTTCTACTTTCTATATAGGATTCAAAAGTGACGTTCGGCACCCGGCCGCGGCGGAGCAGCCGCCCTTGGCAAGAATGCACCGTACAAACAAGCAAGCAAGCAAGCAAGCAAGCCAGCAAGCAAGCCAGCAAGCCTGAACCAGCCAAAAGCCGCTGCCAGAACAAAAAAAACCTGGGCTGGCCCCCGGTGGAGGGGTCGGCGGCACTGGGCGGCAGCCCTTAAATTAGTCGATTGTGCGACACATTGCGCTGGTTTCCCAAAGGGCACTCAGCTTGCGAGGAAATGTCTCTCAAACTGCGGAGACCTTTTGGCTTTGTTTGAAAACAACACGAGCACCGACTCTATAAGACACCCCCCGATCTCTGTCTGAGGTGGAAGGTTAGCAAGCAAAACCAGGTTTGAAAAACAGACCGGAGCCCTGTCACCCATAGTGAACCCCTGTTCCCGTAAACAAAGAGTGTTGTATTGGGCTCATTCGCATGCACACTGCGCCCTTCAGCCTTCATTCTGCGGACGGACGACATCCTGCTCTCGTTGCGTTGTCCCAGTATTCATAAGGCTTCATCCATCCCCACTGAAGGATCCCGTGCATAGTCATGGTATCTTACAGGCCTGCTGTGGAGCTTGTTTCCGCAAAGCCGGAGAGGAGTTTGCCATACCTGGACGCTTGCCACAAGCACAGCATGAGACGTTGCAAGTCTCCATGCCTCGCAAGGAGCTCCAGAGACAGTCGCGCCTTGGATCTGAGATCAAGGGGGGCCCTGGCTGCTCCGACCCCCAACATAGCGGCTCACGCGGCCTTTCAGCTAAGGCCACCGCCATCTTGGGAAAGAGAGAGCTCAAATACCAGGCACTCCAAACCTTCGCAT